CAATTGAAACCAATCCCAACGGGGGCATAATTGAAATTAACGGTAGGATTTTTTTTTTAGAAAGAAGAGAGGGGATAAATGGAATTCAATTTGAGGCTAATTAATGTGTGTCGTGCAACGTAACGCTTTAAATAGTGCACTTTTGGACTGAAAATGCAACGAATTTCAACGAAAAGTTTGCAAAATTTATGAAATTACTTTAATAAAAATCTATAGAGAGGAAAAGAGAACAATGCACTTTTTTAAAAATAAAGCAAACTTTTAATCCAACTATTTTACAAAAAATAAATAATAATATTCTCATAAAAGTTCCTATGAAAATAAATAGTGTCATATACATATATAGTTATATATGTTGCGTTCACATTTATATTGACTGCTATAAATTTTCACACTCGTGACTTCGAACGCAAGTAATGATTCAGAGTAAAAGATATAAGGGCAATATTTTTGATAACAGTAATTTGTTGATTGCAATCCACTTTACTTATTATTTATTTAGAACTTTTGGGGATAAAGTGCATCGTCACGAAATATCACGTTAGATAACCTTTTGCCATCTTTTAAGGGTAGGAAACGTGACACTTGAATATATCTAGGCCGAAGTAAAGTGTGAGAGGTGTCATATAAAATGACAGGAAGTGCCGGTAAAACTTTTCATACATGATATATCCTAATAAATACCGTTCTAAAATATTCAGCTTGTGCGTTTTGCGAAAATATGCGATGCATAAAAAGTTTCGTAGATTATGCGAAACGAGATAAGCGCGCAATATCATCTCACGATTTCATTTTCATCCTATACCTTGCACCGAGCTAATGGAAACGTTTTCGTCGTCGAGTATCGAAAATTGTTTAAAATAAAAATCTTTTCGTTACAATTTTACAATCATTTCGTCACAGAACATATCGTTTTAAAAATTTGGAACAAGTTATATTTTGCATGAAATAAAAAAATCATTTATAAATAATTACAAAAGATCGATGAAAGTAATCGCTTGTAATAAATGTTTATCGACATCGACAACTACTTTAGACTTATTAAAATTTTTATCCAATAATTTTTTATTTACGTTTCTTCTATCGATTATTCTTCTATGGTTTATTCTGGAGACTAACATCTATTCCGAAAACGACAGAAATAATACGTATTTAAAAATCTATCGGAGATGGAGCAACGAAATTCATTTTTTATAAGATCCTTCTTCGTCGTAGAGGCCGATATTGCATCCGCCTTCCTTTTGATAGCTAATTTCTCAGAGATCTGAAAGCGCATCGAGTTGGTTCGTAGATTCGCCCACCACCTCGCATAATTATGCCTCCTCCTCCTGAAAATCCCGTTATATAGATATTAGAGAAATATGGGAAGCTCGACAGGCCTCGAAAAGCGTATTTTCTTCGGATGAAATAAGATCCAAGCACTGGTTACAGAATATTAACATTCCTTTTAACCTGATAACCGACAAAGTGAAGAAAATAAATCGAGGAAAATAATTCTTCGATCCAATATCCTTTCACTCGCACAAAGGACCCTCCCCTGAAGAATGAAACTCGAAGTTAGAATTAATTGGCAATCTATTACGATCGAAATTTAAATTCAACTCGAGTCGGTCACGGTTGCAGTTCAATCCTAGAATCGTTCCGTGTTACAGTTTTCTACTTGATCTGATATATGACCCTTTCGAAACTGGCTCCGTAAATTTCTCAATTTATTTAGAGATTCGTTCAATTAAAAAAATTCTTCAAAATTCTTTATCATTACCATTACCAATCGCTCGAATTAAAAACCATTCAACCATCACAACACACCATCCTCCTGAATATTTATTTGCACCGTTGAAACAAAGAGACCTTGAAAAATTACCCTTATAATCAAAAGATGAAAATTCGAAGGGAACGCGATCACAAAGCGTGACACACCCTGCGACGTGCAACGAGAAAAGGATGAAAAGAAATCTCACCTCGAGAAACGATCGGTTTTCGAAGGTGAGGATCGCGGGGAATCGGCCGGCCGTCGCAAAGGGGAGGGGTTTTATTCGGCTGTTTCTCATTCGGCGAACTTTCTCTACGTACACGTGTGCAGCGGTGAGAATTATATAGGAAGGAACGTGAAGCCATGGGTAGAGGAGGTCTCCCTGTGGTGAGTCGAGCGCTTGTAAATGCACGTCTCCCCGGGTATCCTCCTACCCCCAATCCAAGGGTGGAACGTACGTATACGTACAACGGAGGGGGTAGTATATATGGACGCCGGAAGGTAGGCGGTTGGAAGGTACAGTGGGAACACAGTTCTTGCATTAGCCAAAGAAAGATTTCTGGGCGAATCGAGCGAGAGAGGTGGGGAGGGGTTGGAGGAACCGGGCGAAGGGTGGAACGAAGAAGAAAGGAACCGAAGGCGTATATGTGTAGACAGGTCCGCTTCTTGCCGTGGCCATCGTGGGCCGCCGTTGATTTTTGTGTCGCCTAGTAGTAGTATCCCGTTCCTGGGATACTTTTCAACGCCCGCAGGGAGAAAAAGCGGGAAAAGAGGCGGTTGTCGATTCACTCTACGATCTGAATACCGACAGGGGGAGGACTTATGAACTTTCTATCTGTGATTAATGCGCGAGTTTCTTTCTCGGGGGAGGGGAGGCTGGTTTTCAACCTGATAGAAAAGGTATCGTTATTGTTGCCAGCACTTAGAATGAAGGTATTCGATTTGGATTTCGAAAAATTCGGGAAATTTATCTGTGTAATTTAGTTTCGCGAGTTGGTTCTTTCTTTGACGCGAAATGAGTTTAGTAAGTCTAATCTGAATAAATTGTTATTCTTAATAATTAATACGTGCCTTCTTTTACACGGGAAATACGCGAGTTGTTGGCTCGAATAAGTGGTCTTAAGGTATTTATTCGTTGCAATCCGTGGATAACGTAACGAGATCATAAATAAAATATTAGACGAAGGAAATCGAGTCGTGTCCAATTTCATCCGATTTTACAATACACAGGGCAGGGGAATGTTGAGCGGGCAAGATAGCACCTAGTCGATACCTATTTCCTTATTTCTCCTTCCAAGTCATATTTGTCTTATTGACCGGCGTATTCGTAGCAGCTTGTTCAACTGTTGAACTAGCGAGACGTGAAACACGTTCTATATACAGCTCTGGTTTAAACTAACCTCCATCCAGTTTCAAGCAAACCACGAAATTTCAAACTCCATCTTGTTATCCGTACGAACGACGCCACTAACGAGGAAGAAAGAATATATAAGTGAAAATAAAAAAAAGAAAAAAAAAAAAAAAGAAAGAAAGAAAGAAAGGAAAGGAAAAAGATTCGTTCGATCGATGTGTTTACGAATCGGGTCGAAAATCATGCAAATTTCGTAATGGTGCAAAGGAGGAAAATCCGATTCTCGTGGCAAGTTTCGCGAGTTTGCTAAATGCTCTCGAACGTATCCCCCCTGTCTCTAGTCAGATTCCCGAGAGAACTTGGAAACTAATGGCTGGAAGTCGATGATACTTCGCTTTTAAGGATCTGTTCGGTTCTCGTTCGTTCCTGACTGCGGCCAACAACCTTCCACTGCGTCGAGTTAACTTCGTAAATGATCGCGCCAATCGCTATCCTCCATATCCAGATTCGTTGAAATTATAATTCGTTCTCGTCCAATTTCGTAATTCACTTTGCTCGGTGAGAGTAAGAATTCTTTTCGAAGAAAAAAAAAAAATCCCTTCAGAATTTCTTGATAATTTCTCCAACACGGAGCATTGAATATTTTGGGAGGAAGATCTGAAAGAATTTTGTAATTTGTTAAAAAAAAAAAAAAAAAAGAAAAAAATATGTTACAATTACGATTATGAGTTTTTTGATCTGGAATTCATACAAAATGCAATGTGTAAGACGTACCTTGTTACTGGATATATTTAATGAATTTTTCATCAAAAACTTTCAACGGTTTCAACTACTAACTTCATCCAATATCGTATCATCTTATATATTCCCTTCTCCGAAATTTCATTTGCAATTTCTATGAAAACTTCTAACTAAAAATTTAGAACGATTTAAATTTAATATAAATAAACGAATTATTAATTGTTCCAATATATAGATTATACGGATATGTAAATTTCATTTTCTCCTCGAAGAGAGGAGGAAAGATAACTACTTATTTCCATTTGAGATAAATAATTGTACTATAATAGAGGAAGAAATTGATGGAGATATTATCGAGTAAAGTGGTTAATTGAGGCATTCCCAATGAATACAGTTTACGAATGAACCAGTTTTGAATCGCGGTCATCCTCGTTAATTTCTTCTTATAACGAAAGAATTAAAATTAAAACGGAAAGTAAAATAGAAATTTTTATCAATTTCCCGGAACTGGAGTGATATTCGAGCAAAGAACTGATGAACTTCTTCTCAATATATCCTCCTCTCCTCCCTCAAAAAAAAAAAAAAAAAAAAACAAAAATCTTTCCAAATTCTAAATCTTCCCACTTCGTTCACACTTTTTTCCAAAGTGTTCCGAATCACCAACCAAATATCACCACTACGCGACCGAACGATTCCGCGAGCAATTTTTACCAGGAAATTGAAACAGGTATCAAGAGAGAGAGAGAGAGATTCGAAGAACGATCGAAACGTTTCGTCGTAATCCTCGCGCTCGAAACGGGCGTTTCGCGAGAGGGCGCAGCGCCGCCATTAAACTTGAAAAAGCGGAAAAGCAACGGAGACGTCAAAGAACCGTGAATCCTGCCAGGAGTTCACCTTTCAAAACCGGGCCCCGCCAATTTTCAACGGAACGAAAGCCGTGCAAGCCAATAATTAATTGGCGTTTCCGCGGGTTGAAGGGATGGTTGGGAGGGAGGAGAGGGGGGTTGGTGTTGCCAAACGTTGTTTATAATTAATATTTAAATATTCGGCACGATTATATGGCTGGGGGAGGGGGGAACGTTTATAAACGTTTATATATATATATATAAGATAGGAACGAGTTATTAATGTTTCGGCAAGAGAGAAATTACTTACCGAGTATCTGGCTAAGAACGGTGCGGCCATCTTCGCCGAGGCAGGCGCTCCGGGCATCAAAGGGATTTGTGAATTGCACGAATGCATAGCCTTTGTGCATAGATATTCCTGGAACAACAAACGATCATGACGTTCCAATAGCCCGCTTCCTTTCTTCCAAGCAACGCGGATGGAATGAAACAGAAATACCAGGATAATGGGGGGAAATCTTTAATTAAAATTGTTTCCATGAATTTTGATGAGGAGCCCCTCGGCCAGACTTTGCGGATCTTTGGGGGGGAGGGGAGGGGGAGGATCTCGTCATCGTTCCGAATACCGAGGATCGAGAGGATGTTGGATTGTTCGAAGAGAGATTGAAAAGCGGGGAAGTGATTTTCGAGTTTTTTCATTTGTTTTCTTTTCTTTTTCTTTTTCTTTTTTTTTTTTTAAGCGAGGAATTTTACACAAAGTTGAAAATTCTTTTTTTTTTCATTTACTTTTTTATTTAGTCATTTAGTATATTTTATGTACGTAGGGTTTTTGAAATTTTTAAAAAAATTTTTTAGGGAGGAATTATATTTTGGGATACAAAAGAAATTGTTTTCATTGTTAAGAAGTTTCGAAACAGGGGAATGTTGATTTTTTTGTTTTTTGTTTTTTTTTTTTTTTTTACAAACTGAAAAGAATTAATTTTAGCAGAAACATCTTGCGGCTAGAAATATCTTGTGTCGCAAACTGTTATTATATTAAAGTTCATGAAACATTCGGGTATTATCTCTGTCTTTAGACACGCGATTAAAAATGAATTTAAATATGCTTAATGCAGAAGCTTTTCTCTTTCGCCGAGAATTTTCTTAAATAAATTACAGGAACGTTCACTGATATTTATTTTTCATGCGCGGCATTTCCACGGAGTTTATCACAATCCGCAGGGAATAAATTTCTCCATTTCCCTTTCCTACATTTATCGACAATGAATTTTAATAAGATTCTGCGTTACATTCAACACGTCATTTTCTTTAATACTTTTTATCTATCGCAAAATATATCGAATTAATATAAACGAAAATAATATAAAGGAAAAAAGGTATAAAATAAGATTCTTACGTTCTAATTTCTATAATCAAAAATTTGAAATTAAGAGAATTAGAAATTGACAAATTACTTGACACTTAGAATTTCTATCGATATCGATATAACCAATTTTTATCAAAAGAGAAAAAAGGAAAAATAAATTAATAAATTTATTTTTCCATCCTCCATTGAATTCTTCTCCAATTTCCCAATCATTAAAATATTACAAAATACAATTAAAATCATCGTACGTCAATTCATACGTAACATAATTCAAAAACAATGCACCGTTGGAAGGAAGCTACTTGTAATAGTAGGATAAAATCCTCGAGATTTTCAACTTGACGTTATTAACATGTTCTAGGGAACTGGCGTTGCGAGATAAATTTTTTTTAAACCGTCACTGTCCGTTTCGGGAGTGGACACACGTTTCGTACGAAATATATCTGCATCCAGACCCGTGTACACCCGGGGCCATATATGTATAACCATGGCAGGAATATATGGAGATTTACATATTTGTTTCAGCATAATGAATTCCATGCATGGTCAGCTGCTAACCACGCAAAAGTTATTACGGGTACACAGATTACAGCAGCCTCCCGCGTTAAAATGAACGTATCTGCCGACTTGCTACGCAGACTGCCCACGGAATCGATGACCCAACTGTGCCATGTGGTAGCCGATGTAAAATTAAAAAATAAAAAGAAAAAAAAAAAAAGAAAGAAAAAAAAAGAGGAAAGAAAGAAAGAAAAAAAGAGCGAAAAAAGGAATGGAAGAAATATACAGAGGGGAGGAATTTCGGGCGAGAGATATATATCCCAACCATCGAATTCATAGCCATTTCCGAATTTTCGATTTTTACTCGATATTACTCGAAATTTATTTGTATTTTGTGTGCCAGAAAAATGATTTTCTATTAAGAAGAATTTTTGTATCTGGTAAATTTTAATCGATCATTATCAAATTTGTATGTAAACGATATTCGATCGAGAATAATCGAATAATCAATTGTATTTTTTATCATAAAAAATTATATAACAACTTTTTCTTTTCTTTCAACGAGATCGAATGATATTTCTCTCTCGAGCCAATCGTTCGTCGTTCTGAAAACTGAACGATCGAAATTGGAATTGAAAGGCTAAAGGAATTAATACGCATCGCTTCTCACGACTTTCAGAGAGGACAATGATACGCGTGCAGAACAATTTAATACGATTCCCCCATTCTCGGTCTACTACGTGCACTACTACGTTCCGTCCCACTCGATCCGTGCAATCTGCTCCGCGCAGCTGTCACAGTGGTCCAGCATCCCATAGTAGCTGTGCTCTATCTGACAATCTGAACCTTTTCCAATTTCACGTCTCCCTTGACTCGAGCCTCTTCTCCTCCAATAAGGATGCGGGACCCTTTTCTTGCGGGACGCAGCACACCGCGAAACAGTCGTCGGGGAGAATTGAGAATTGTCGTTGCGGCCGGCGGAGGTTGAAACTTTTATGGAACTTGCAACGCTCGTACCGTGTGCCAGATAGGGCGAGACGGTTTTTTTCAACTTGTCGCTGGATTTTCATTTTTCTTTTTCCCTTCTTTCCTTTCTTGGATGCAAAGGAGCGTTTTAATTTCTTCTTTTTTCTTTTCGTTTTTTTTTTTTTTTTTTTTTTTT